ACGTGGTATATTCCAGCATGGCACACTTTCGTTCCAGGTTGTGTTTGTTCACTGCTGACTCTTGCTCCATTTCTACATCCAGTGCAGTCTCCTCCCCTGGAACATTACTCCTCTTGGACCGAGGACAGCGCACAACTCCTGCACATACAAAGGGGTTTGACTATCAGCATGAGAACTCAGACTTCAACCCATTTCCAACTCACCCTGCTGTGACAAATTACTGCTCCCACACAGTGCAAGCACTTTTACCCCTTCTCCATACAACATGCTACCTTCTCACAGAGAAGGGCTGTTATCAAATTTGACACTTTTATCAGGGCAGCAATGCTCTGCCATGAACACTGCTCTGGAAATTTCAAGTGGATCACAAATTCATAAATTAAATGGACAGAGCTCCTAGCTTGTTTTTTTGGGCAACCTGACAAGAGAACAAAACACTGCAAGTGACAAAGCAGAGCCTGCCTCAAATGTAAGGAAAGGAAAAGGAATTGTGGTGTGCCCAGATACAACACTAAAAGTGCTAAGAAGGTACAATCATGCCATACCCAAAGGTGTATTCAGGCAGACACACTGCAGATCAAACCAGAAGTTCTCCACGTCCTGCATGGTGTTGAGGACGTACAAGCGGCGCTCGAAGGGACGACTGCTCTGAGCCAGGTTGTAGTGGGGGTCACATATGGTGGTATCAACAATCACAGCATTTCTCTTCATATACACAAACACCTGCCAAATGCAGAGCATTTCAGCCTGGCAGGGAAAACTCATTGAAGCTGCCTAATTCACAGGACATGCAGTCTAGTTTAGGGTGGCTTAACAACCTAGGGTTGGTCTCTTCTCCCAGGCAACCAGCAGCAGGACAAGAAGGCACAGACTCAAGCTCTGCCAGGGGAGGGTTAGGTTGGATATTAGGAAGAGATTTTTTAGGGAGAGAGTGATCAGGCATTGGAATGTGCTGCCCAGGGAGGTGGTGGATTCAGCATCCCTGGAGGTTTTCAAGCTGAGACTGGATGTGGCAGTTAGTGCCATGGGGTAGTGACCACGGTAGGGTTGGACTTGATGATCTTGGAGGTCTTTTCCAACCTAGGTGATTCTATGATTCTATGATCTGAAACATCAGTATTTTATTTAACTATTCAAGGTAATTATAAACCCCAAATCTTGCATTTATTTCCCTGGACAAAACCCATGAAGGATAATGGCTAAATTTTACCTGGTCTTTGTCTTGAAATTTCTCTGTTGGGCCAAACTGTATCAGTCCCATGTAACATAATCTCTGAAGGCTTTCTATCACTGAGAAGATGTACCTCCTGCAGCAATATTAGTATTACAGTTAGCACTCATGAAAACAGCACAAATAATACCAGAAAACACACCATTTTCATGCACAACCTGAGCTAAGATCTAACTGAGTGCAGTTAAATGGGAGTTGCATCTTAGCAGTTTTCTCTGGAGGTCAGAAGATCAAACCTAGAAATAGCAAAGCAAATCTGGCTGAGTTAGAAGCTTCAGTGAATGGAGGGGGAAAGGGGCCACTTGGTTATGGATCACATTGTTTTGCATAAACTTATCAGATGGAGCATGTAGTTTTAAAAACCACCCCCATAAATCCAGTTTCCTTGTTTCTAAGACTTAGCAATAGGTTAGGACTTGCAAATCTGGACTAACCACAGGCCTTGGCATCTGACATTGCCCAGCCCTGTGCTCTCTCCCCAGTGGCACATCTGTAGGTTTGTAAAATGCCACATAAGCCTCCAACCATCCAAATCCAAACTGTTAGCAATGTCTTTCTGGGGAAAGTTAACATGGTGCTCTTGATTCCACACATCCAAGTCACTTTTCTTTAACACTGTTTGCCCATCCTATTTTCAGTCCAACCTCAGTTTTTCAGTCTCCAAGATGAGGAATGGCAAACCATGGCAGACATGCCACTGAGAGCACGAGGGGAAACTGAATGGTATGTATGAGAGGCAGGAGCTGGGAAATGTGGCAGGTTCTGAAAGATTTATGAAGGACAGCAACACTTAGAGCCTATTAAATTCTGAATTTAGCAGCAGTCAGGACTGTGTTTTATAGGGAAGCAACATCCTGCTGCTGAGTTATGAAGGACAGAACCCCCCAGTTCTCAAACACTGCCTGACAGCATGCATGAATATTGTTTATTAGGTGCTTATTACCTTCTCTTTGGGAGAGAAAAATACCGTTTGGCACACTTGCTTTGCAAGATTGATGATCCTTGTCTTAAGCACCAAAGTTCTCTTTGACACAAACAGGAAATAACTGAGAAAACAATCAGCCACTGCTGCTTCCTCTCTAGAGCCACTTACTTTGACTCATCTGCTTACCGTTTGTAGAGAAGCTGCTGTCGGACTGGCCTTGGAAGAAATCTGATCAGAGTGTGCTTTTTGAGGGGATCATTTAAAAAATCTTCCAGACCTTCCACCTAGAATTATTTTAGAAGTTCATCAAAATGCAAAATAGAACTGTGAAGTACAAAGCTTTGCTTACTAGAACCGTCTACTAAAATGTTGTCTTTACTACTTTTGTAAAAGGCTTAAACATTTTTCTTGTTAATCAATGAGGCAGCAGATTCAGTGAGACTCTAAAAAGCTCTTGGCAAAACACTAGCTTAAGAATCTTCAGTATTACAGGGCTATACATTTTTCACAGTGTGTCTATAAAAGCAACTCCTTTTTCTGTACAAGACTAAAGTGTCTCCTCTCCAGGGTCTCGTTCTGTTCAAGCTGATTAAGGGTCTGTTTGTTACAGGCTGTAGGTACAGTTTAAAGGAGAAGAAAAAGGCACCACACCTTGTAGCTGACTTGTACTATCTGAACAAAGATTGAGAGAGGCAGGCAGAGGAGGATGTCACTAACAAGAGCCCATCCAAAGCCGAACTCTCTGTGGACAGGGAGAGGAGGGACATAGCGTGTCCACGACGTCTCATCCACGTACACTGGGAACAAGAAGAATGGCTCAGGCTCAGACAGGACAAACCTAACAGTTATATCAACAGTTTGACTGTGAGTGTTCAAGCAGAACACCTCTGGCAATTCATAGTCTGTCAATCTTGAGTATCTCCAATTACCTACAAATTGTCTAAACCGCTGATTTGCAATCCCTTCTGAAGCAAATTTTTACCTATCTTTCAGTGCTGAACCATGGCAAAAAGTCTGTAGTAAAGTCAGGATGTGTCACTTACCTGTTTGATTAGACAACTCTACTTCAGTCTCCTGTGCAGAGACTTCAGGTTTCACCACAGCTGTCACAATTTCTAAGGTCCCATCTGGCTGTGCTTCAATTACAGCTGCGTTCTCATCCAGCCCTTGTTTTTTCTCACCATCACTACCCCTTTTTTGCTGTGATCCATTTAAAGGGTGTCCATAGATTAAGTACCAGAGGAACATGTGGGCCATTCTTAAACGAGGCATTTTGGGAAGAAAGCCAAGAGAACGGCCAAGTCCTGGAACTGGGAGGGAAAACACCAAACAGAAATAAAAAGAGGATTAGACCAGGAGAAACAGCTACCTCTGCAAAGCTAAGATGAAGAAAACTGGAAGGAAAGATGGGCAGCTGAAAGTAAATACAAGTTACAAACAGTAAAGTAGTAGAGAATAGAAGTACTCTAGTTCACAATTGTAAATAAAAGAAGCAGCTAAGAAAACATTGAACAGTGAGATTGCTTTAACTGTGAGCTCAACTGCTCTACTAGAGAAGAAAAACCCCACTTGGATCGTACTCTCAATAGTAAGTGGGAAAGTGAAAGATGACAGAAAACCCAAAGTTGGCTGTACCTGTAACAGGGTGATAGTTTTTTAGCTGTGTTACACCCATTTTTTCATCAGTTTTTCTTGCCCGAGTATTATCAGCTTTACTTGAGCTTGCCCATTTTTTCATCAGTTTTTCTACTCCGAGTATTATCAGCTTTACTTGAGCTTTCTTGTATTTCTCCTGAATCAGGAACTGCCTCTTGCCCCAGGTTTTCTTCCTCACCATGGTCCTGGGATGTTGGTGTTTGGGGAACTTTAATCCTACAGGAAAACCACATAGCACTTTGGTAAAAACCAAGCGGAGTTCAATTCCTCTTCCATCCTGACCTCAGGAAGACTCAGCATTTTGCCTCATCTTTGTGCTTCTACTCTTACGTTGCTAAGGAAGAGACTTTTTCTTTGTGCCTATTTCCTCTGCATCTTTTTGCACATATTAGACAAGCCAAGTTCCCCCCAGGCCATCCCACCCACCCAGTGACTCACCTGTTGGAGATGCGGAACCGAACCTGCTCGATGGCACTTCTCACCAGGGGATCACTGGGGCTCACCGAGGGGTGCACAACAAACTCTGCCTGTTCAGAGCAGCAGAATAAAAACAAAAGGTACTTTATGGAGATACTGGCTCTTAGTCAGCTGCGTAAGTTATCCGAGGTTAACAGACAATTAACAGTAGCCACAATGGGTGAATCCTAGGCAGGTTAAATAAATCACAGAACATTAACACTCTTGGATAAAAACTCCTGTTGAGAGTTTGGATCAAGCTACAGGCCAGAGCTCATGGTCTCTGCACCCATGAACAGGTAATAACATCTCTACAAATCTCAGGTTTTGGGGCTTGACATGTTAGGCTGAGGGGGATGAGGGAAAATCCAGCCCTGGGAAGGCCAAAGCAATATGTATTGTGGCTGAAATACACAAAGCTCAGACTGGTGAGATTTCATCTGTTCTCCGTATTGTGGCTGAAATACACACAGTTCAGACTGGTGAGATTTCATCTGTTCTCTACAGTAATTGTGCAGCAGGGAATTTTCAATGGATTCAATTCCCTGCTTATGAGCATTTCACAGTAGAGTAAGTGACAAGGCTCAGCTTTACAACCACAGGCATTTTACTTCCAAAAACCTCAATAACAGTGGATTTTTGTTTTAAAAAAAAATCCCCAACAGATCACGTTCTGTAAACTTCAACTCAGAAGCTAACTTAGGATTTTTCATACCCTCTTGGCTTTCAAAGTAGAATTATGGTGCAGCCTGACAGTGCAGGGAAAGCACCATGAATCACAGAACTGATAAACAGCAGAACCTCTCAGAAGGGAGATGCAGTGACTTTGATCTCTAGACTGATCCTTGGTCTCACAATTATCTGCAGCACAAGAACTGAAAGCAGTGACCTGGTTTCCACAGCAGCTCGACTGTGGGTTGTGCTACAAGGGGTGAAGCCACCCACATATTTCAATAGAAAGGCCCAGACCAATTTGATAACTCAGAAGGTTGTGAGAAAAAGCTGCTTCTGGCAGGGTTAGTGCAGTCACCTTTTTGATGATGCCATCCTGAATGACAGTGGTGCGGTAGAGCCTGAGGAGTCCTTCCCGCGCCAGCTTCTGCACCAGCCGAACGATGGACTTCTTGCAGCACTTAGTGGAGACACCTTCCTGCTTCTCTTGATCCATCACCATTTTCTGAAGTCTAAAAGATGCAAAATATACTTTGCATTTTAATCCCAGCAATGCTCCAAACTGCCTAAGCAGTTTATTGGAGGATGTGGGGTGAATGGGTATTTTCCTGCTCCCAGCAATTCCTGCTCTCTTTTCTCTTTTTGCTGTTGACAACTGGTAACTTCACTGCAAATTTCAGCTGTATTTCCTTTGTGCTCAAGCATTTCCTTGTTAGGGGAGAACTGCTGCTCTGATGCCAGTGAATTCCCAATGCCTGATTTCCCTGTGTATGGCTAGAGCACAATCCTGAATCCAGCCTCCCTGAGGTCAGCAAAACCTACAGCTTTGTTAGGGGGTGATCAAACATGCACAGTCTGCACTTGCAGTTGTGAGCTCAGTTCAGAAAGCATCAGCCCCCCAGGAATGCACTGGTGTCACTGGACTCACATGAACAAGCTCTCGATGAGCCGCAGGTTCCTCACAGCCTCCACGATGAGGTTCTGGCGCTTCAGCAATCTGTATGTCTCGTGAGACCTCTCCACTGCTGTGGCCTTGGAACGTTTTTCCTTCTTCAGGCCACATGTCTTCTAGTGCACAGCATGGACAAAATAAAAACATTACATAAACTATCCAACCTCTTCAGCCTAACGTTGGCTCCTCGTAACGTAACGTCTGAGGAATTTGGAGTTTTGATGTGTTTGTCTGTACCAAACTAGTTGGATGAAGATTAGCTTTTATGTCATCTTCCCAGGCAGGGAGACCAACCAGATGACATGCAGCACTTGTGTGCATAGACAGGACAGTAAATAATGACATGCATTAAGTCAACACTGGGAATTTGGAGAACACCAGGGAACTAACCCAGAACTGTATTTTGGCTATTTACCTTCCTATCTCCTGGAAAAATTTTTACTTACAACTACAATGCAGCCGAAAGCTGAATGTACTTTGAAATGAAATTGAAAAAACCCAAAACAATTCCATAAATAAATGCAAAAACTCTAGCTTAAAGCCTTGCTGTAGAAGTACATGACTTGCTCAGGCAGCCACAGTGACAAGAAAACCGACATGATCTTACCTTAGGGTCTTCAAGTCTGACTTCCTCCACCACAACCACATCCTCATCTTCATCACAACAGGTGCAAAGACTGGACTCCTGCTTTATGGTTTCCAAAGTAGAACTCTCTCCTGAAATGTTGTCTGGAAGATCATCAGGATCTTCAAGGATTTGAGGAGAAGGCACCTTCTTCCCCTGAGACTTCACAGCTGCTGGTTTTGAGCCTGCTTTGAGAGCAAAAAGCCTTGTAATGGTTCTGCTCTCAGTTCTCTGCTCAGATTCTCCCTCTCTGAGGCATTCCCTCACTCACCCACCCAGGCAGCTGCATCTAAAAGCATTCTGCCACATTTTTCACATGTTCTTCTACCCTGCTGGAAGCAGTGGCTTGACCACAACTGCCTTCAGCTTCTAAAAGTACAGTTAAAAGAAGTGACCTCCCTGTCATCTAATAATTCTCTCCATGCAGAAGTCTCTTCATAGGCAGACTTGGAAGACCATGAAGGGCCAGATTAGCTTATCCAGAAACTGCTGTCTGAAGAAAGAAGAGCTTCTGTCACAAAGATTATCAAGTTCTACCAGAAACCTGAGATTTCTGACTCAAAGCAGAACAGGAACAAGGATTTAGTATTACTCTAAAGATAATCTACACAAGAAACAGAGATCTGCTCTCCTCTCTTCCCTTGGATTTTATCAGGGAAGTTGTAGGAACTATTAAATAAAGTAAAAGAAGAAACCCCACCATATGCTTTTGAAAGGAAGTGCCGAAAGGTTTGGTAGCTTTCACACACAGATGTTCCAAACAGCTGAAGAGGAAGCTGAAGCAATTAGCTTCAGGGCACACAGCATTTTTGTTACAACATGCTTAGGTGAAAAAAGCTGTTTGTCAAGTCATCCCAACCCCAACTACCATCCCAACCCTATCCATAGGAGCACAGTGTGCTCCCTCACATTTCATGGGCATGGGTAAAAGAGGAGCTGTGGCACAGTGTAAGAAGAGGCAGATTTCTTCCTGGTGATTAGTAGCAACCAGGGACACTACTTGGCACACTTCAGCCCTGAGCACCTCAGAGATCACCACACTCAGTGTTCCAAACCATAACAATTTGGAGGAGAAGCAAGGAAATAACCAAGCAAGTGTAAAAAAAAGTAAATATATGACCAAAGACTTTAATGGAGGCTAATAGCATGTTAGTTTTTTTTAATAAAAGGATCCATAAGAAAAACAAAGGGTTTTCTCCAAATTTGGAAGTCATGATCTACCTTTAGCTGGTGTTGACTGATGGGCATCATCTGGGAAACTTAATTTCAACAGAGAGCCAGAGTTGGCCTTCTGACCGTTTCCTCTCTTCTTGCCATCTTTTTCTTCTTCTTCATTGTCAGACTCTGAGACTAAAGTATCATCTTCTCCAAGAGACACATCTTCCACGGGGGGGGAATATTCTGGCACTAGAGCCAAAGTGACTGTGGCTAGCTGCTTACTCCTGGCCTTCTCCCTCTCAAACTGACGGTTTAAATCACTCTCCTCTGCAAAGATGTATGAAATGTACTTTGTTGTCCTTTGCCGACCTTCATCCTCCATAAAACCCTAAGGAAACAATGGGAATGTTATTTTTACCACCTTACTTCTCCATTCTCACAGTGTCCTCCAGCATCAGCTGTGGGAAAATTTTCTGTTCTCTCCTCATATCTAAAGATATCCTGTTGTTCTAAGGAACAAAACCATCACTAGCCTCAACATACAGAAACCAAAAGAAATTCTGTGCTTGAACAATAAATAAATCTGCATTACTTGTGAACCAGAACGAAACACCCACAGTGTGTGGGATGTAGGAGAGTCTAAGGGAGAACAAACTATAGGTATTCAGACTAGAAATCAATTTTTTTTCAGAAAGTAAATGTCAGTGAAATAACTGCAATGCACTGAATTATCTGGAAATAGGAAGTTTAATCACAATAACCTCTACAAAAGTTTGGTTCCCGAATTTACTGGTATTTTCAAAAGGCAAGTAGGTTAATGATTAATGATTTTAAATGGTCAGAGGGTCTTGGAGAAGATGCTTCAGTAGAGGATTGTGCAAAATAGAATTTGTCTTCTAGTCAAAAGTTAAGCAAAGTGGCTCTTTTGAGGTGAGAGGCAGTTGTGCTCATCTCTGTGAAGCGCATGATGGTGCTGGGAACAGTGTTTCCCTGGAAGTGGCACCCAGCAGAATCTCAGCAGCTGCTGTGGGTCACCAGGACGTGTGCTCCACACAGACCCAAGACATGGAGCCACGTGCATTTTCCCCCACAATCTTTATTAACTGAGCACCCAGTTACAAACTAATGTAAACCACTTGTACATCTGGGTCAGTGAACCATGAGATGTCAAAGCAGCTAACCAGGAATGAATCAAACAAAGGGATGTTATGTTCTAACAACTAGACCACCCTCAGATTACAGTGGGTTACAATCTTGTCTCCTAAAACCTTCCCCTCAGCTGAATTCATACTCTTCAACCTTACCAGGACTCTCCCACTGTCAATATTCAAATCAGTGCTGTTTCCAATACCTGAGGTTAACAATGTTGTCACATATTCCCACAGTAACCACAATTGTATCTTCAGTTTGAGTAAGTAACTAGATTATTTTACTTTAGCCTTACCTTGACAACTTTGTACCTCTCCAGAAGGCGACAGAGCATCCTTGCTTCTAGCTTCCCCACATTCATAGCCAAGCGAAGTTCTGCCTGAGAAATGCCTTTGGTTCCTCTACTTTCAACTGTTTCAGAAAGGAAACCCCAAAAATATCTCAGGAAAAGAACCTGACTGAATTAGATACACATACATTTGTATATACATTACTATTTGCATATGCCAGAGTACTAAATTTAGGATTCTTCACTAATTAAAGACACTGTCACAGACAAATACTGTCACAATTTTACATGAAGCAGTGCCCCAACAGAAAGAGGTTTTCTTCATGATCCTTTCTCATCCCACCACATTCTGCTCCTGCCTTGCTGTTTTACTTCAGTGGTACTGAGCAGTTGATAAGCTTCCAGGGAGGGCTAATAGGTGGCAGCACCTCCAGGCTAATCTGGACACACAGCTCATTTTGCAATGAAAAAAATGACACTTTCTGACCAGAACTCAAAAACTACACAATATATACATTTCTTTTACACATACAAGGAGTAAGAAGGTAATGAGAAAAGTCTTAGGATGTCTTACTATATCACCTACTTAGCTCATAAGCCTGGGTGAGCATATCCCTTTCACAAACAACATCCACAGGCTGAATAGCTTTTGTCATGATCTCTTCTTCATCATCATCATGATAATCTTCCATTTTCTTCTGAAATTCCTTCAGCAGTTTAAGGCAACGGACCATGACATCAGTCCCTGTGAAAATAAATGTCAGTAACAACTACCAGCAAAATGCAGGGGGTGTGCACATGTTTAAACCATTTTCTTCCTTTCAGCAGCACAAAGAAGCAGCAGTGTAACAGGGAACAACTGGCTAAAGACAACTGGGTATTTTTAGGAAAGGTTTGCAATAGCTTTTCCCTATATATGAATCTGTCTGAATGTCTGAGATGCTCCAAACCTTCCTGTGCCCATGTTAGGACTGCTCAGTAGGACAAATTTCAGCAGCACAAAGAAATTAATGGAGGGATTAAGTGCTGATCCCTAGTATTACATCTGCAGAACACATATCTGACTGTGAGAACACTCACTGGGTATAAAAACATTCCTTTTGACAAGGACAGAACAAACTGCTGCCCACCAGAGTCTCACACATGATTTAATTCCACATCTTAATACATTACTGTCCAGTGGCTGTGCTGGAGTAACTCTCCACTCACTGGGAACTCAGAGAAAAGCAGAGCAGAGTGGGGACAGATGGCTTCAGGAGAGCTGTGGAGATCCTGTTTCCTGATACAAGGGTGACCTAGTATCATCAGTACCATCTAGCTGAACCACTCAAGAGTGGTAAGCTAGAACTAGGTTACTGTACACTGCCAGCTTAGAAAGTTGCAGTGATTCAGCAGCCACTGCAGGAGTAGCCAATTCATCCTGCAGCAGTGGGTGGAACATCACCCCACTGGCACAGCCTGCTGTGAAAACACCAGGTGAAAGCTTTAGCTGAAATCACTAAGGTTTCAGCTGATAAATTTAATCCTGTGTATGTATCTGACCAGTTACTGGTGCCTAACTGACACCAAGTTAACCCACAGTCACTTAACCATGTGACTGAGCCCCAGACCCAGGTGATTCCATTCTTTTTCCCTAAGATGCTGCTCAGGATAGGGTTGCAGGCACTGCTGTTACATCCTCTGTATTTCTACAGCCCATTAATTTGTATTTGAAGTAGTATTTGAAAAAACAAACAAAAACCCCCAAACCCAAACAGATTCCATTTCCTTTAGCTCCTGCTACCCAATAATGTGCTTCCCATAGCAGATGCTGTGGCTTCATCCTCTGTGTGTCCCACATATTTCTATCTGCTTTCCTGTATAACTCCAGAGATTAAACAATCTTGATCTCTGATGAAAATCAGCTATTATTAATTCATCCTCCTTTAATACCTAGTGTTTTTTAAGGCATTTTTGTGGATTTTCAGGTCTTACATCTGTAAGATGGAATTACCACTCAAGTGAAAGATTCATCAAGTGGCATTTTTCATGACAAACATAGCCAGTAAATGCAGCTGCTGTTGTGCCAACCTCTGACAAAACAGGAAACATCACTGCCTTGGGATCTGCCACCAAGTTTATAAGTGCACTTGTATTTCCTTGGCTTCTAAGTAAAAACCTTAATTGGAAGTTAGAAGGTTTTTGCTACTGACTATAAAGTGCCTTTTAGGAGTACTATCTAGTCTTTTGGTTTTTATTTGCAAGTGCTTTCAGCTTATTAGAATGACTCTGAACTGAAGTCAGTAGGAGGAAGCATAAACTAGTATCACCAGCTACAATGCTGCTCACAGACAGTGTGAGACAGTCTGGATTTTGTCAATGCCAATTTTAAATGGTGTGACTAGAGGTTCTGTAAGTCTATAAGGGTCATGAAAGTGGCTGTCATAAAAGCCACTGCATGTTGAGACACTTGCTCAGACCAGAAATAAATTGACTATGCACAGTAAATATTTTGCCAAACATCTGATGACAATTTCCCCATACATTTTACTGAATACTGATCTGTTCTAGAACATTGAGGATCTCCACTGCCTTCTTGAACCTGTGAACTTGAGTGAATTCTCCTGTGTAAATCTCCCTCTGATATTCATAGGGGAAGGAGGGAACCTATACATTTCATAACAAACCAACTCGTTCAATCACTCAGTACAATGTGGGAGATTTCTCTCCTGACCACGCTCAGTGCTGTACCTACTTCTGGCCTTTGCTTTTCTTTGCTCATAACACAGTTTCC